GCTCAGTCTTAGCCACTCATTTCATCGTCCCAAATTTTCTAAGTTCCTGATATCACCGTAGCTTTCACTTATCACCATTGAGGAGAAGTATTCATTACATATGCGATGTCTCCTCTTCATAATAGGTAGGGACTTATTTATCAAACGACAAATCTCTGACCGGTCTCTTTCGATTACAGACAGATTCCTCTGACCGAAAGAGTCTCCCATAGAAATAACGTTTTGGGCAATGATAGAGTAATCAGCCCGCCTAAGGCGGACTGTAAATACTTGTTCTTCAATCTGGTTGCTCAATTTCCCTTTAATCCTTCGACCGTATATCTTGTCACAGTCTCAGCATTAGAGCTGTAAATCACAAGCAGCGCTTCCTCTGGATTGCTGGAGCATCTTCTAAGTAAATAAAAGCATACCAAAACTAATGCAATCAGTCTTGAGTAGCCTTATTACTCCCACATTGCACAACACGCCCTTTATGAAGGACATTCCTCCAGTCGTGTGCCTGTAATCGACAGAGATCAGTCAGAGATTAATCTTTTCATCAAGAAGTCCCTGCATATTTTGGAGAGGAAACATCGCATGTGTAATCAAAAATCCTCCACAACGGTGAAATATGAAAGCTGCTGTGTTATCGCAAACTTAATTTTTAAAAAATGACAAAAATTGAACTCAATAATTTAAATCTAAAGATATGAGTATCATTGTTAAGACTAGAATTTGTCAATCGCTTTAAAATGAGGCATTTTTTCGATATATGGCAGTCAGCTGTCAAATAATCTATTGTACCATTACGATGATATGGAGTGTGCAGTGAAACGCATTAGTAATAACAGTGTTAACATGTGTTGTTTGGCCAACTCAACAATGAATCAGCGAAGCGCGTGCAATTTCACGAACGCACAATCAGATGAGGCATACGTATATTGCATTTATGACCATTTTAATAGTGAAAATTCATCGGGTCCATGGATGTCGTTTGATGACCAGGGACATTCTGGAAACTTTCTAAGGCCACTGCCCTCCAAAACGAATAGTTTGATAGTGAATGAATGATTACTTATGAAACCCGCTTTGCTTTCACTACCTTATTGTCATTAGTTCGCCAGCTAATGCAAGTTTTCCTGTAACCTTCATAGATGATTTTGAACTAGCTACATTAGAAAACGGCTTTAACAATTTAAACAGCATTTCGATCATAGATCTTCATCTTCATCTTCCATCGCCGCTTCTCCTTTCAGGTCGCGGAAGCAGATGCGTCAGACAGTGCTTCCAACGTTAACGATCCTGTGCCAGAGTCTGAGCTTCGGCAAAAGACAAATGGAGTCTGGAACAGATTCCTTCCATATGTT